AAAAAAAAAAAAAAAAAAAAAAAAAAAAAAAAAAATCTTACCCAGCTCTTACCAATAGTATCTGTGAAGTAAATTATAGACTTATTTTAAAGGGGAAAAATCATATATCCAAAATCCTGCACAGAAGTTTGATTTAGGCAAAAGGAAAAATTGTAACTTGTACTTATTTTAATTTTAAATGATTAAATACAATCCCAACAATACGTATTACATGTCCTACATAAGAGGAACTATCACTGTATGTAAAAGAAGTGTTTAGAACATCTTATTCCAAAAATGACAGTGAAACATACTGAGAATATAAGCCATGTCCACTTTCAGGTAACTTCATTAGCAACCAGTAAGCACCTACAACTGTTGAAATACAACAGCACTCAATCTCTAGTAAAGACTAAATTTGAGGTCCCCAAGTAAATCTTCCTTTCATAGTCTGTATTTTTCACAAGGAAAGGTAAGGCCTAGAATTCAATCTGTCTTCAGAGTTGTGTCATACTACTTGGATTGCTCAGTATGATATCATACCACGAGTGTTAACGGGCAGTTACTTTTGTACAGCAGATTAGAAGAATAAGAGTTGAAGTCATTTATGAAACTGACACTAGTCAAAATGTTTTTCTCTATAAGAAAATTTAGTACTTCTAATTTGAATAAGATGAAATAAAATTACTAATTATAAGCTCATCATATTAAACTCACAGTGATTACTTTTCTCATTTTGTTTTGAAGACATTAGACCTGGAATTACCATCTCAGAAAAAAACCTAGTGGAGTTTCCAGCAGCTAAGTTCCATTTTCAAAATCACTAGTAGAATGTACTTAAAAAATTATGAGTCTGAATTAAAATTGCCTGTTTTCTTCTTACATGTATTTATTCCTATGAAATCTCAAAAGTATAACATATTGGGCCAGGAACTTAGCTCAGTGGCACCGCGCTGGCCTTGCAAGCACAAGGTCCTGAGTTTGATCCCTGGTACCAAAAAAAAAAAGGCATAACATATTAACAGGATATTGAATATACAATGTTGTCAGAAATATACAATAAAATATCATCATTTTTTCTGGATTACTCTCTAAATGAGGTAGCCACTCACGAATGGTAATCATTTTGCATTTGTGAAACTTTATTATCACATTGTTTCATGTGTTGTAAGATCTCAAAATGCAAAGGGAAACATATCTTTGTGTGAAACCTCCAAAGCACTGTCAAATGTTACTCTGTCAATTCTACCCAGTGCCAAAAAGACCTCAGGAGACATGGATTGTAAAGGTATTTTATTTTGTAAGCAACAATCAAAATATATTTTTGCTACTGATTTCTTCAAATATTGAAAGAGATCTTAACAAAACTTGTCCACTTTGATGTGTTCTTGTACAACTTTGGAATCTGCAAAGACCCTGACTAAGGAAACAGAAGTAATTGCACAACTGAGACCGAAGGTGTTACAGTGCTGCAAATGATGCCAGATGTCTTACATTTAACCAAACACACCTTCCGAGGTCCCTTGATTTTGAGCATTAGGAACAAGAGAGGACTATGCAGTGAAAGTTTCATTAAGAGCTTTTTGCATTTTTTATTTAAATACGACTGTGTCTAACATAGCTGCTAAACACTGGACAATATTTGAAGTCATAAGGACATCCACATGTTCTTCCAAGTGACGTTTGGGATCCTAAGAGAAAAGAAAAGAAAAATAACTCTATTATTGGTATATATTACTTAGATTTTTTTTTTTTTAGTAGCTGATGGAATTAAGACAGAAACCTAAATGTTTTACAATTAACTTTCCTGATATATTGTTACATTCTTAAGGTTCTAAATCTGTTTTTCAAAAGTACCTAATAAAATAATAAATATTCAGTGCAAGATTGATTTATGTATACAATCAATGCTATAGCTCTGTACTAGAGATTTTTATAAAGTCTGTACTAGAGATTTTTATAAAGGGTGACAATTCTACCAATTCTGTTTTAAATGATTCAGAAAATATTGTTGGATCAAAAGTCACCATGGTTGAAAAATTTAAATACAATTTGGATCTCTTCTAAAATGTTAATGTCTTGTGCAGCTATTTTGGAAAAATACAAAGAATTACATAGGTACAATTCTTTAAGCCTAGTCAAATCTATTTTGAAACAGAGTTTAAAATGAAGGTTAAAGACTGCACTGTGATAAAATAATTAAAATGCTTAATTTACATTTATGTTTGGAATGAAGTATTTTAACTTTTGAAATTTGAAATAAAGGATACATATTTGAAATTTGAAAGCTATAAAATAAAGGATACATATTGTACACAACAAAACATAATTCAATGCATTTTTGATGGGCACTATTAAAATACCCAAGATTTTTAACTTTAAACAAATGTCCATTACTGGAATTATTTCTTGACTGTGCTTTTCTAACCCATAATTTCATGACACTGACTTCTTTAAATAACCCGGAGATACAACACGCTACAAATAATTTTAAGTGACTAGAGCACAGTATTATTATTATTATTCTTCTTACATTTTATTTCAGAAATAAGCCCTGTGTATTTTAGGTAAAAGATATTGATCAAAACTGGCAACAAAAAAATATATTGGTTTAAATACATTGTACACAGTTTTCCTTTTGCCTGCAGCAGGTCAAACCAGTGAGGTACTTACTACATTTTACAACATAATCCTGATGATTATTAAGCTTTGTCAGTTATGTATTCTTCACTTTCACTTTTAATTTAGTCCTATTTTGCTGCTATTAACTAAAATACACGTCAAGAAACTATAGCCTCAGAAAGCAATTTATTCAAATTCAAATTCTATGAAGGGTAAGACTCCAAATTGGTGATCTAATATTACATTTTAAAATAAGTGGTAAAAAGACAGCAAGGCTATCATGTAAGATGAGAAAATAACATTAACTATATTTCATTTCGGTTTTTGGAGGTACCTGTTTTTAAATTATAATACTCAGAATGTATACTGAGATTTAATTTCTTCATTTATGGTATATGATAAATGATAAAGTCAGACTTTTGCCCCTACAACTCTGTTGAAGTAATTGGTTTTACAGTGAATTGGTAACTCATTTATCAGTTATCTATATTACTTCTTGTGGCAGCTGGGTGATTCTTAGAGATTTCCCATCCAAGAATGGTCCTGGCCCAAACCTACATAGCTTGTGAGATGTGATGGGATCAGAGCATATGGTAGGATGGCTGAAAGCAAAGACAGCTTAGTGTCTTGCATCTGAAATATCAAGATTCTGCCAACATCAGCAATATGATAACCATGTTCCATGAAATGAAAAAAAAAGTAATCAACATTCTTTTAAAAACAGTCTAATTAATCTGTAGATTCCTTTAATTGGTTGGTACGTTCCTCCCACCCTAAGATAATAGACTAAAACATGTATTTTATCTTAGAAAAGTGAAAGAATACTTAATACCTTTTCTCTTCACTCAGTATAATCAAGAGTTATAAGGTTTCTCAAGTACAATACCTATATATCAATAAATATCATTAAAATATATATATGAAATAAATCTACGATTCAATTCTCTTACTTGACCTATGGTTAAAAAAAAAAAATACTGTGAATATTAACTCAGGACATAAAGCATCTTAATTTATTTCTAGCAAATTACTTTCACTAAAGATAGCAGGTCATAGGTATGAATTTGTGATTTATTCTCTATAGATAGCAAGCAGAATTTGACCAATAAATTCTGGCTTAAAATTCGTATCATATTTACAGAACAAAAGAAAAATGTAGAGTGGACAGGAAAAAATATATATAGACCCTAAAATTGTTTTAATTCTGTAAAAGCATGCTGTTATGTGAATGTATAACCTAGTACAGTACACCTCACCTGCTTGCCAACATTCTTTATTGCCAGCTGTTCAGGTGTCATCTTATCTTCTTCTTCTACAGCCTGTGAATGAAACACAAAAGACAGCATTTCAAATTCTAAATTTACTTTTCCCACTGAAGAATAATTACAAAAATAATAATGATCATACTTTCCATCTTTTCTTTCAGAGAACCTTTTTTTTTTGTACCGGGGACTGAACTTGGGTCCTTGCTCTTGCAAGGCAGGCCACCGAACTGCTGAGCTAAATGTCCGGCCCAGAGAACCTTTTATTCAAAGAATTTATTGATAAAAAAGTCAATTTTGCTAATCTTTAGAATAATTTTCAGGATAATGAAAACTATTACCACCATCATTTGAAAACAGACCTAAGAAACATGTAAAAGGTATTGAAAATATCAAACTGAGTCAATACATTGTTGCATTAACTGTTTGCAAAACAGTTACTGAAAATCATTACTGAATTTTTTGAGAGATGGGGAGGTGGAAGTGTTTGAGCTAAGCCTCTTACGACACTAGAGTGTTAACTAGTTTTATTCTAGCTTCTTTTCCTACTTTCACAGCAATTTTCTCTTCCCATTTCTTTGTTTCCTTTTCTCTGATCAATCCAGCATGTGCATATCCAGTACCTATTTAAGAGCACTCAAGATCAAAGGAGCTTCTGACTTTTGATCAACTTAACTACATGTTCTTTAAATCACTAAAGTGATACAGTCTATGTACCCGTATTCAGAAAGATCTCATTATTCTACATTAGGGGTCTTTAATAACCATAAGAACTAATGCGAAGTTTTCAACATCAAAATAATTATTTGAATTAAAAACTAAATCAAATCAAAATTAAATCAACCAAAACAACCTATGCAAACACTTCCTACTACTTTCAGAGTTAGCTACAAACTCTGGTGTGTATGATCATAAACTTTCCAGCAGAATAATTCTTAAATTATTACAACATTAGATTAGCTACCACCACTATACTCCCCTCCCAATAATGGTACTAACAAAAAATCTTTATTGAGGATTGTAAGCATAAGGAACCTCCACAGTTTAGGTATGTTATGGCCTGAAGACAGGATTCGACAGCAGGTGAATTTGGGGGCCATGATTTATTCATAGTATCTGATAAATGGAAAATAAATTTTACAGTACTGGGGATTAAAGAAGAATTTAATAATGATCACCAATGTCAAGAAATGCCACCACATGGCATTTACCACAAAGATGGCTACAAAGGGGGCAAAATGACAGTGGCAAAGAGCAGGGAAACAAAATCCCAGTGAGGGTTAGATTTGGATACTCTGAACTTAATAATCTCACAGCTGCCAAATTTCTTCATGTGTGAACAATGAACATGTAGGAAATGCAATCATCAGACATTTCCCATAAACTGGGAAGTTTGGCTGCATTTCACACCTTCTTAATAGTTTTGTAAACAGAGAACTTGAAAATGAGCAAAGATGGCAAGTGTCTAATTTTATAAATGGACAAACTATCTAGAGAATTTTTCCCAACAGAACCTCCTTAAAGAGAAAAGATGGTGAATAAGTATTGTTATTTCCTGATTACCAGAGAATATTTATTTACAGCATATCATTGGGAATTATATTTATGATTCATAAACCTGAAAAAAGGAAAAATAAGTTAATAACACTCCAAATCTAGAATTCCCTAGACAGAAAATATGTTCATTTTTAGAGTCAGATGTCACTCTGTTATTCTCAGCTAGTTATGAAAAGTATTACCTAACTGGGAAATTGCTTCTCCCACTTTCCTATCTTTTAACATAAATGGAAACATTAACATACATTTAGAATTAGCCTTTCTAAATTACATCTACAAACTGGGACATTATATTTTATTGACGTAAAAGCATATTAGATGAATGGAACAATTAAGTTTGTACTCCATATCCATTCAGTGTTAGTTGTTCTGTGCACATGCCAACAACAATACTTACTACAGCATTGGAAGGAGGCAAGAGTTTTGGAATTTGGCTCCAAATACCAATCCACATGCAAAATGGTTATTAGGAAGTATTCTGGATTATTACAAATATCAAAGATGACAGATACACAAAGATGAAGGTCAAAAAGCCTTAAAAGTATTAATTTTATTTGAAAGGTTAAACAGAACATAAAGAGCTCCAACAAATTTTAAAAATCTTTTGCATCATTTAACCACTTTACCAATTAGTTTTTCCATTCCCAATAATTAAAAGAGAGAGTTCACAAACTCTTAGAGAAGTGCAGATGGTAAAAAGTACTCCCAGCCATAGATGCCATCTGGGAAATGAGGAGCAGCTGTAGATTTAGGCATATACTAAGGTTGCAAACCCCCATGACAAAAGAGTAAGCACATCTCTCCCATTCTAAGACAGAAAAGATAATCACATCAAACCCTTAAAAATGTTTGCCATCTACCTATAAGTTACCTATCTCTCAGGTACCATCTAGTTCACCCTAGTTTGTCTTCATTCACAGTTCTTAATCTGGCTGGTCACCAGGAAAAATTAAGAAATGGTAGTAGCAGAAACAAATGAAATTCAGGCACAGGCAGTGTCCTCACTAGGGAACTTCTGTGTTTATGGCAACTTCTGTGATTTGGCTTCAAATTTTGCTTTTGCATTTGTGCTCTTCGGTTTACTCAACCAACAAAAAGCACTGAAAATGTTTGTGGCTATTCACACTAGAAACGTTTTTAACAGTTTATCAACAAAGACCCCCAGATGGCTATCCCATCATGCACGGTCTGCACAGTTCTAAGAAATTCTTGGATTTCGGTCTGTTATGTGATCACAATAGCCAGATGTACCCCCTATCTTCAAGAAGCTTTAACTCAACCCCGTAATAATTTTGTTGTTGTTAATGGTCAAGTTTCTCAAAAGGAAAATTTACATCAAATTTCACCATTTTATTTACATACAAAGAAATATAGACTGGACTCCTGGCACTGACTTACTAACTTTTAAAGATCTCCACCAGGCCAGTTCCAGTATTCTAAACTTTCTAAACACGTTCAGAATTATTCCAACACCAGCTTTTTATTCCTTAATCTTTCCTTTAATAACCTCTTTCTTATTCTGCAAACTTCTGTATCTATTTCTTTGGCTTTCTTTTTCTCACTGATGTGCTTTGTTTATCCTATAACATGCTATGATCTCAATTAAGCACATGCTTTCCAATATCACAAATATAGCAATTTTAATGTAAAATAGGATGCAAATTTCTAAAATGGAATATGCTAATTTTTTGCCAGTAAACCACCTTTGCAAGTGCCAGTGGATTTCAAGACAATATATATTACTTCATTCATGATTTATTTTTCTTTTTACAGTACCGGGGATTAAATCTATGGCCTTGTGCATGCCAAGCAAGCATTTTACCACTGAGCTACATTCCCAGACATTTTCATTTTATTTTGTAACAGGGTCACAATAAGTTGCCTGGGCTAGCTTCAAACTTGTAATCCTCCTACCTCAGAGCTATCATCATAGGTGTGTGCCAAGCAACATACCTGGATATCATAATTTTTGTATGTATTTTTCATATTGAATATGGAATAAAAAATGAGCTACAGGAGTGGAGAATAATTTCAAAGAAATGGCTTTTTGTAAAACATTTGGGGAAGCAAACTGAACAAACATGAAGCAATTAAAAAAACTACAGAAGGTATAAGAAGTGTGAATGTGAAGAACATTAAAACTTTTTCCTACTATCATTAAACATAAACATATACATATTTTATACTTATTTACGGAATTCTTAAAACATTCCAAAAATGTAGTTAATAAACATTTTACATATAAAGTAGGCACTATCTCCTTGAAGATATCAATGCTAGCAGTTTTGGTACCGTAAGAATTTCAAACTCTTCTTGCTTTCAAGGAGCTCAAGCTGAGCTTTACTTTCCTGTAATCTTAAATTAAAATGCAGTATGAAACAAAGAAATGAGCATTCAAAAAGAATGACGGGGACACAAAGGTAACTACATGGACCTAATTTTTCCTTCTGGATCTCCTGCAAGGGTGGGGGAGGGTCAGAGTGAGAATATGCAAAAATTTGCCTGGAAAGAACACACCCTGTGGTACTTACAGGTAATAGGGAAGAGGCAGACCCAGGAGACTGGCTGTGAAAGAAAAGGAACTGGCTATGAGAGAAATGAGTCCAAATTTTGAAGCATATCTGATGCCTAGAAAAATGAGAGTGCCACTGGCAACCAAACTGTAGAGGAACTGTTCTCAAGAAGCAGAAAGCAGCCGGGCATGGTGGCGCACACCTGTAATCCCAGCACTGGGGAGGCTGAGGCAGGAGGATCGCTGTGAGTTAAAGACCATCTTGGGCTACACAGGGAGTTCCAGGGCAGACTCAATTACAAAGTGAGACCCTGTCTCAAAAAAACTAAAAAAAAAAAGAAGAAGCAGAAAGCAGTGTGGACCACACTTTGCTTTCAAACATGAGCACTTTAGGCACCAGGTATATGTGAGTGGAAAAGTCTCTTAAGATAAGGGAGATGAGAATACATACCAAGTGAAAAGGAAAAGAAATCTCTAAGCTTTTAGCTTGGCTAAACCATCAAAACAGATTTTTTTAAATTATAAAAATACAGGGTGCAAGGGATCAAGTTTGATCCCCGGTACAAAATACATAGATATATGTAAATAAATACAACAGCAAAAGCAGCACAGCAAACCTGTCAAGAGAGGAATGTATGGCCATAGAAGTAAAGGGAGAGACTCCATAAGTTAAGAGTACTGAGTGAAGGCACGCAGACAATAAGAATAACCTGCAAAGGTGATATAAAGTTAGCGTACTATGAAGTAAATCAATCACTTTTGGGGGGGGGCTGGGGATGGAATTTGGGACCTTGCGTTTTGCGAGGCAGGGGCTAGAAAATCAATCACCTCTTTTAACGATTTGGAAATAGTAAACTGTCTTCAGTACTCACTCTGTCATTGAAAGGGTATGATATTAAGGCAGACAGCAGTGACTTAAGAAGGTTATTTTTTATCCAGTTAGTCCTAAGAGAACAAAAGGAGCAAAGTGTGCCATGATGGACAGCCA